TTTAATCCTATAGAAAATTAAAATATTCTTTTATAAGAATTTATCAAATAAAAAATGTATTTTAATATTTTTTGCGTAGCTACCTGCACTGCTTCTCCTTCGACACTAAACAAGCTAAAAAAAAAAAAAAAAAAAAAAAAAAAAAAAAAAAAAAAAAAAGAATAAAGTAAAGAAGAGGTTTCCTCTTCATTTTATAAATTAAAACTTTAAAGTATTGTCATCGTATTACTATAAAAATTTATTTTGCTATATGGCAACGTATTGCGCAAGAAGCTTTTAACTAATTACTTAATTATCATTATCAAATACAAAGTGAAATATTTCACTTCTGGACGTTGCACTTCTTGTACTAAATCTTCTCTAAAATATACTCGTAAATCACTTTTTATAAAATTCAAGACTCAGTGTGCAACATAAATGCATAATATCTACTGTTTAATTGCCGTTATCAATGCATTTGTATTCTTTTTTTTTTTGTGTGCATAGTGAAGTATTAATAGACGTTGCTGACTGAGCGTCTAAGTACGAGGCGAATGTAATTGCAGCTATTGCGCGATAAAGTGAGAAAAGTTGTGATACAAAAGTGTAAAGAATGCACGAGCACACGATCTCTGCAATCACTCTCGTGCAAGTCTAATGATACATTCGATATATGTATGCGCGCGGGATTTAATCGCTCGAGCATCTGATTTATTGGATTGCCACTATTTTATTAACCTTTTCTCGTTTCGAGACTACGTACGTGAAAAAAAAAGCCACCGATTTGAGGGATGTGGGTGCGCGCGCGTCTATGTGTACGTGTAATAAGGCTGTTTATCTATTAAGGCCATGTCGTGTCGCTTTTTACAGGGTAAAATCAATTTTCTCCCTCTATCTCGGCTAGCGACGTCAGCCTCTTTAGGAGATGTAACGTTTTTTGACGTGGAACAATGGAGCTTCTACCCATTTACTTAGTCTTTATGACCTATGAGATGCGCATGCACGGTGCTAATTCGCATTTCTCGAGATTAATAGACTCTAATTCTATTTGAAATTCAAATATTTCACGTTTCAAAGTAGATTTCCAAAGAGTAATAAAAAAAAAAAAAAAAAAAAAAAAAAAAAAAAAAAAAAAAAAAAAAGAGAGAGAGAGAGAAAAAAAAGAAAGAAAAGAAAGAAAAGAGAAACAAACAATACTACCCAAATAGATGCTGTTGACAGCATAAAATCAAAATCTTTCGACATTAGACATTCGACTATCGCATTTCTTTACGTACTTAATTCGTTAAGAAGTGCATGCCTGGAATCATAAAAATAAATAACTCTCTCCGTCTGTGTATAAATGTAATATAAATAAAGAGGATTAGGAATATCGGAGAATTGTGAAGAATCCAAGTGGCTTTGGTAGTAAGAAAATTTGCCCCACCCTAGTAGTTAGTAGTAAAGGAGCTTAGTCAGCAACTTGAAGTTACTCGACAAGTGATTTCCAGCCACTTACATAAGTTCAGTACAAAGGCGGTCGGGTTTCGCGATTCCGGCTCACAACAACTCACGCCAGCCTCTTTAGTCGACCAATGAAGTTGTGATGTTTAAGCTCGGGGGTCTTTGCGCCCGCGCATTTAATGTCAGAGTGCCTTAATCGCGATCGATAAAGGCATCCGTAGGACATTGGTAAAGACAATACAAAGGTATTTTGGAAAGAGCCTGACATTATTGATTATTGTTAGCATTGACTGTTGTTTGAATGCAAACGAGGTGTTTATTGATACAAGCCAGTAGATGTTATTGTTACTATGAGCCCAGTGACAAATGATCCATAACGATATTCTAAGCATTACGTATTTATTTCAGTTAAATCTATGCACTTTAATAATAAATTTAATCATTTGTCCATGCTACTTAATAGAAACGAGAGGTAAAAATTGATTACGATCGTAAATAATAAATGACGATATCAGAGTATTTTATTACATTGTGTTAATCGATTTAAATGAAATACAACCAACGTATATACTTGCAATAATCGCATAATAATAAGAATCTAATTGAATAAGACTATTGATTGCCAGTAATTGGGATTTTATGAATCAACGAGATATAAAGCCAAATGTACTAGCTTCTTGTGGTCGCCTAAACGGAATTTGGATATAAAGTGGATAAAAAGTGCAATAAAAATCATATAATAAATATTGTTTGAAATTATTTTATAGGAGAGGAGAAATTAACTTACGAAAGGTACAGACAAGATCCGAAGATGAGCTTCGTGATGAAGTCATTTTGGGTTATGGCGCACGGATTGCACAATATGCTAGAGGAAATTTGCGGCCACAACTATACTGGCGTTTGCAAAGAAATTTTTCCCTTTAATGGCACACGTTTCAAGGTGATTTCCTTTCGTCAATATGCATGTACGTAATTTGATTATTGCAATAGCATACTTACGCTTGAATTTGTGTGTTGTAATGCAGAATCATTTGATGAACGTGACCTTCAGCATTGGCGAGGAAATCGTGGAATTCGATCGACGAGGGGATCCACCGGGCAGGTCGGTGCGTATGTCTATTTCCAAAATCTTTCAAAATTCATCGTACAGTTAGGCGGTGTTTTTTAAACTAATTTTCACGAGCTTACACTCGCGATATATTTAATCCTTCAAAGTCAGCTCGTATCTTTATTTCTTTATCGTTTTAGCATAGTGAGGATACAATCATTTTTAACGAACAATAGTAATGCCATAAAAAGGGCAGAACCATGGGAAACAAAAAAGTAATAAAGAAATTATCTTAGTTTCTCTTACGTAAAATTATGAGATCGTTAATATAAAACACTAACATATTTGTTTACTTGTATTTAATTTTTTTTTTTTTTTTTTTTTTTTTTTTTTTTTTTTTTTTTTTTTTTTTTTTTTTTTTTTTTTTTTTTTTTTTTTTTTTTTTTTTTCCCCACCAAAACATCGCGGAATTTACAAATTCGTGCATATTTCGGGGGATGATCAAACAATTGCAACACTGCATGAATGTATAATATAGATTTTGGAAAATGGATTGTGTATTTAGACAGCTCAACGAGATGATTGTTTGAGAAATATTTCTTGACATGCACTGTTAACGAGCGTGTGGCCAGTGGAACTACAATCGAATGAAAATACCATATTTGGTGAGAAGTTTAACGGAGCGACCATCGTAGTCTTGATGCACATCTTTCCATAAATATTGAATTTCAATAGCCGGTCAGCGTGGTGAGATAAAGTTTCCAACCGCACCAGCTTATCATCACCCATTCCATGTTTTTCGTCATAAGCCTCTCCTCTCGGTCGTTTTTACCCCTAATCTTTCGTGCAAAATTTTATCCAATGTTTCGCCTCTCCCTCCATCGCTCAATTTCTCTCTCTCTCTCTCTCTCTCTCTCTCTCTCTCTGTTACGTAAAATTCTTACAGTGTATTTTATATTTTTTCATTTTCTAGAATAAATGAGTATTCGCTTTTGAACTCGAGTGATTTAATTACAAGGGAGATCGGGCCCTTCATTCCTTTATCGTTCGATTTTTTGTTTGCCTTTAACATTGCGGTTTTCGAAATTGACGATCTCCTGGTCGAGTGTCTGCTTGGCCCTACTTCAATGATTGAATAATTATCGATTTGCGACTTCCTTTATTACATTTATGATTCTAGAATATAGCTAGTGCGTATTTTAATTGAAAAGGTCAATGATGTAAAAACAAGTTTCGAGAGGGTATAAAGTTCCATTAATTCTTAGTAACATTATATATATATATATATATTATATGTACACAAACAAACACACACACACAAACAAACACACACACACACACACGCACATCTTCCGTTAAATGTCATTCTGTTTATAATTAATTCAATTAAATATTTATACGAATTATTTATTTCGTTATGTGAATAAAGTGAATTTTCATAAACACTGGAATTATACAGGCTTAATATGGTAATAACTTTGATATTTCAATGTAATTTTATATAATTAACAATGACATTTTTAGTATTTCATTATTAAAGTGTAAAAAGACTTTATATTATAATGCACTTACGATGAATAATTTCAAAAATATTTTAACATTTTAATGTTAAGTTCAATCACTTCTCTTATTAAATTTCAAGGCAATTGTTATCCATCAATGTAGTCTTTTATGTTGGTTAATTCTCTTATTATTCAGAGTTTATTCGATTAAAAAAAAAAGTTGAAAAATGATCGCACGAATGCTCCTGTGGGAAAATTATTATTTTTCTTTTTTACATTTTTTTCTATCATTTTTTTTTTTTTTTTTTTACACATTTTGGACATTGTGCTGAAAGTCAAGTCAATGATTACGTAATTTATAAACGTGCAGTTTTTGATCGATGTGATTGATTTTTGATGTATTTCTTTTGTCGAAAATTTGGTTAATTTTATACATGATAGAAACTACAGTAGAATAAATAATTTATAAATAAAATGATAGAGAGTAATCAAGTGAATGGGGAGTGACGTTCTACAGCGCACAACGTCTGATAAATAAATATTTTCCAACCAACCTGTCGACATTTGATATCTAATGAAATTTTTTAAATAAAAAATCACCACTTTTTTGAGCATAAAATCGAGTTTATCGAGTATCGCTAATGGAAGCGCATGGCGTCCCTTGAACAACACTCGACCCTACGAAGTCCTCCCGAAAAAGGTCACGAGCGTCCGATTGTCCGGCAACGACCGCGCACCGAGTGCAGAAGCCCTTATCCTTTTATGTTCGCGTAACTCTTATGCCGCGCACCCGCAGGTACGAGATCCTGAACTACCAGCTGATGCCGAACGGCACCTACGCCTACGTGCAGATCGGCGATTGGAACAACGGAACCCTCACCTTCACGGGCTCGCCCCAGTCGCGCAACCCGAGCCTCGTCGAAAGCGTCTGTTCCAAGCCCTGCCCCCTAGGACAATACAAGGTAAGCGCTCGTCATCGAGGTGCCTCCACCACCTCCACAACCACCATTATCCAACTTTATCGCCACCGCCTCATCCTCCTCCGTGGTTTCAGCGAGGCTCGCTCGTGTCGAGCCCTGAAATTTACGTCATTCCGACCGAGCGCTCGCGCTTCGTATTTAATTCGCAACCGCGTAAACGCTTTCCTTCTCCCTTCTTATCCTGCAAAACTGCCGGAAAGTATTAATTAATAATCGATGCCTAGCGCGCGAATTTTATACCTCGACACTTGTACTTTGACGATTGGAAAGCAGCCAGTGCCTTCGTTTTTTCATTTTTCCTCAACATGAAATTTGAGAACCTATCGGAGTTATTAATTACTTTATGAGGATTCGCACGTTGGTTCGCCCGTTGGTTCACACGGCAATTTTCCGATTCGCACACCAAGTATTGCTATCCCGTCCCAGTGAAATGCTTCAAAAGATTATCCTTCTTTTCTCCCTAATTTTTTTTCTTCTTCTTTTTTTTTTCTTTTGAAACAAAGTATCCAAGTATTTCTTTTTTTTTGTTTTTTTTTTTAGAGATACTTTCTCGTCTCGATGACAAACAGAAACGAGAGAGCAGATGTAAAGCGTGTACAAAATTAACTTTAAAAATGACTTGATAATGCAGAATAAATGGCACTGGTAATGAGGTAAATTTGAGGCTTCGATTCGCCGCCCCACGCGATTTAACGAAGGTATTCTTCTATCCCCGAGCCCCTGATTTAACAGCTGCGAAGCAGGGAAACATCGAACTTACGAATACGGCCGCAATAATTCAAGGGTCTTTCATGGCGTTCGCTCGGTGCATGTAAAATTACAGTTGTGCGCCATCGGTGCTGAATGCCAAACGAATCGTAAAAAGCTGAAAGGGAGGAACGAGCGACGAACCCAGCAGCGATAGCTAATCTCTCCCCCCCCCCCCCGCCCCCCCACAACTAACTAACTATTAATTATTATTATTAATTATTATTATAATTATTATTAAGTAACTATTTTTCGAGCGCGAAATTAATTCGTGCCCTCTTCACCCCCCCCTCCCGATTAACCCCACCGCCCCTACCCACACCCTTACTCCCACACCACTCCAACAATCTCTAAGGAAGGCAAAGAAATGGTTGTTCGCTTGTCAGGACCACCGGCTATTTTCAGAACTTCAAGACCGGAGGTCAGGAGAAGCGTTGCTGCTGGGCTTGCGTACCCTGCGATCACGATCAGCTCGTCGACGAGGAGCAGAGCAAGTGCATACCCTGCCCCAATGGCCAGTTGCCCAATAGGAACAAAACGGGTAGGTCCTGATTACTTTTTATTGTCGTTCGGCCAAACACGATCGAAGAAACATTTTAAAGAAGCACTTAAAATTTAAAGCGAGGAGGTTGCTTCCTCGAGTATGCATTTGTAATGTCAATCGTGAAAACATTTGGAATGAGAATTTTTAGCCGTGAATTTTGTAGATCGATCTTAAATTAGTCGTTTGAAGCGAATTGCGATTATTGCAAATTATTCGTCAATTACTGAGTCACTCGATCTTTATATAATGGTGTTTTGTATTTTTTTTTTTTTTTTTTTTTTTTTTTTTTTTTTTTTTTTTTTTATGAGGAAAACTTATTTATCTAATAAAGGATTTTATTCTTTCGATTTTATTAATCGAATATTTTTTCAAGACTTGCGAAACATTGAATCTAAAATATTAAAATAATCTAAAAATATTAAACTATTAACTATAACTATCGACTATTAAATAGCGAATGTATTGGAGATAAAATTCGGAGATATTTTAATATTTCTTATAGAGTATTTAATATTGGATTATCTTCGTATAAATTTACATATATATATATATATATATATATATATATATACATAAGCTTGTGCGTGCATGTGTTTGTTATATATTAGAGAAACGAAAAGAGGCGAAATCTTGTATGTTAATAAACTTGGATAATGCTGATTTTATTAAACTTAAATTAAACTTAAATGAATCTCTCTTTTAAAATGTCTTTTATATACTAATACCATCTTAATCGACTGCAACCAAAGACGGATTAGACCTGAAATTTAAAAGTGGAGCGATGAATTTTACCGTCCTTGTGCACATGCTCCCAATGATCTTTTTACCGTTTTAACATACTTACCTTTTTAACAATATTAAATAACATAAATATCAGTACAATTTTTTAAAAGCCATTTTTTGAAATAAATTTTCCAAGAGACAGGCAAGAGATACGGGCATTGGAAACTTGTAATATGGAAATCATTTTTTTTTTTTTTTTTTTTTTTTTTTTTTTCGTTGATAATAAACTCATAACAAAGATGGATTTATACTAATTTTTGGAAACACAGCTTCGAAGCTTCGATCATAATTTTCATTCAGTGACAAGTATTTTTCACATAAATGCATAGCCAATATTCAAAGCACAATAGCTGGCTTAAGCTCCGCCTAGTTTGCAAAATTAATAGCCCTCGAAAGCCACGGATTTGTGTTATGTGTGCTCTTCTACCTTTTAATACTCGGAACAACAATGAGTACATCGAATACGAATAAATACTCCGCTGCGCATCTCCTGCAATACTAATACTCATCCTGAGAATATATATATCCGCAGCTTGCTACGTTATACCGGTGGAGTATACGACTTGGAGCGATGTCGAGGCGATAATAGCGATGACATCATCGGCCATTGGTTTACTCGCGACCTTCGTCACCTGCCACATCTTCATAAAACACAACAACACGCCGGTCGTCAAGGCCAGTACGCGGGAACTCAGTTACCTCATCCTCGCAGGGATGACCCTCTCTCATGCATCCGTAAGTATTATTTCATTCGTAAATAGTTCGTCTTATCTCGACCGTATTCGCTGCCCCAATCGATCCATCGCCCGTCTTACACTGGTAAACATTGAACCTACATAATTATCAATAATTATCGACCGGTTAGTGTTTTTGAATTATCGCTCCCTGCAGAATATCGTGTATGTTCTGTTTAAGTCTTAAACTTAAACAAAGTCAGTCGACCGAGTGACAATGATATAACAATAATATTACACGGGCTAGCGGTCATTTTCAAATATAACGAAAGACAAAAAAAAAAACACTTTATAATTATGTATTACATCGCGAGTGTTGGAATGGCAATAAGAATAAAAGGAATCTCTAATATCTAATTGTTCAATGAAAAGTCCGTACAATTATGCATTTATGTAATTGATAAGCGAATGTACGTATCATTCATATAGCAAAGAAAAAAGCAAAAGAGGCAAGTGGAGCGAGGGGGCGTGTTGATGTTGTTGTTCTTTATTCGTATGAGATTGAGAGATTGAGAGATTGAGAGATTGAGAGATTGAGAGATTGAGAGATTGAGATTGAGAGAGAGAGAGAGAGAGAGAGAGAGAGAGAGAGAGGAAAAAAGAGGAAATGGTTGTAACGAACGTTTTTCGATAGGTATTGCCGATCCTGGCAAAACCTACGTACACTTCATGCACGCTTAGCCGACTGATGCCTGGTATCAGTTTCGCAATGATTTACGCGAGCCTCTTCACAAAGACCAACAGGATCGCCCGGATACTGGCCGGCTCGAAAAAGCGATTTCCAAAACGAAAACCTCTATTTATGTCCGCCACTGCCCAGGTATGTATCATCCTTTGTTCCGCCTTGCCATTTTCAGACCCTCTAATGAAAAAGTCAAAACTGGTGCGAGGATATGGCGCTGATGGTCGAAGCATCGTCCAGGACTCTCACGCCGTTCCTGCTCTCGGCCTTACAAGTTCCCTTCGTATCAGCGGGACTTTTAGTTAAATGGACGAACATTTTAATTAAATGTCAATCAGATAAGAATTTAGACTCTCTCTTTCTTTTTCAGTATTATTCAAATTTCCATGTATTTTTTTGATTTTTTTTTGTTTTTTTTTTTTTTGTTTTGCTCTCCTTTCATCTTTCTTTTTATTAGGGATAATCTTTTAAAACTACTTTGACTTTGCAAATCTACTTTTATCAACTAGATTTTTAAACGACTGGTGGCAAAGTTTCACGATTTAAAAATAATTTTATTTTACAATTAAGTAAATTCGGAATTCAAAACTTCGCGGAATTATCGCCAAACTTTGATTTCGATTAGCGCAAAGTTTTTATAGGCGTCTTACTTAAAGCTTGCGCTATTTCGTCTTATTAAAGAATAATTATTAAAGTTTCATTACTTATTGAATTGTTAAAAAAAAAAAAAATCGTTCTTGTTGGATTTGATCGACGTTCATTAACAAAGAAACGTGAGAGGATGGACGGTTCCAGGCTCGGTAAATTAGATCGAATGAATTGTAACTTGGAAGTTATTATAATTACGAGAGCAATTGCTTATTTGCAGTCCAGTGGCTCGGAATTAACAGAAAAATGTAGATTTCCGTAATGCGTTGTATTGCTCAATCAAGTTTTTGATTAAAATCAATAGAGCTATAAGTACGACTATTTTCATTGCCTTTTACCAAGTTTAAGAGCATTAAAATTAATTAAAAAATTAAAATTAAAAATTTCTACCAACACACTTCTCTGAAGTAATTAATTTTTAAGCATTGCACATTCATTCATGAATAAAAATATGAATTTATAAAGTAAGCGATGATGTACGATACGTTACGACAAGGATTAAATTCGCGGAACGATTTATCAACTGATATTTATTGAAAAATGCACCTTTTTCAAAAATTGCAACATCTTTTGAAATAACTAATAGACTTTATTCAATTTTTACAAGGTTAAAAAAATCCTTTAATACATTACAAATAAATGACAAATATGTAAAACTATAACTTAGAAACTTTGAATGTTTAACATTGAGAGAGAGAGAGAGAGAGAGAGAGAGATAGATAGATGGATAGATAGATAGATAGATAGATAGATAGATAGATAGATAGATAGATAGATAGATAGATAGATAGATAGATAGATAGATAGATAGATAGATAGATAGATAGATAGATAGATAGATAGATAGATAGATAGATAGATAGATAGATAGATAGATAGATAGATAGAGAGAGAAAGAGAGAGAGAGAGAGAGAGAGAGAGACAGAGACAGAGACAGACAGACAGAGGAGACATAAATAAACGGATCGTTTTACAGATAATGATAACGTGTATTCTGATAATGGTGGAGGTGGTGATAGCGACGACGATGCTTGTGATGGAGCCCGCGAAGCCGACCCTCGAGTTTCCGGCACGACACCGGTCGGTCCTCACGTGCGCAACGACCCCCCGGGCGGTTCTTTCGCCCTTAACCTTCGACGCCCTTCTGATAGGACTCTGCACCCTCTACGCCATCAAAACCCGCAACGTCCCGGAGAACTTCAACGAAGCCAAGTTCATCGGCTTCGCCATGTACACGACCTGTGTCATCTGGATCGCCTTTGTGCCCATATACTTCGGCAGTGAGACCAAGGTGACCTTGTGCAATCGTTATCTCGTCATCGCGCATATATTCATTGGTAGAAAGCGCTTTTCAAAGCCGCGCATCATCGAATGATCCTTTAAATGCGGATTACGTGAGATTATCCTTGGGTAATAACATCGGATTACTTAACAACTTCTCTATTTTATGGCTTTTCTCTTTGCAAGTCTCGCTTTATAATTTGTCTATTATTCCATTAATTCCGGCGCCCTTATTCTAACTTTTTTTCATTCGACTACTGTTAGGCAATTTTTGCCATTAGCTATTTAATCAATCATTTAGGCTATATGTACAACCTAACTATTCATTCATTCATCTATCTTTCTATGTGTGTATCTATCTATATGTGAGTCCGCTTATAAATAACGTATTTGGCATTTGTTTCTATGTATATAAGTGGCTTAGTTATATACCAAAATTTATATCTTCTGATCGTTCGAATGTTTAACCATCGGATTTGTAAGAATGACATTTTACGATATTGGCTACCACTCGTAACATTGATTGATTCCTACGACACATTGTAAGAGTTGCATTATATACTTTATTCGACTGTCTCAGGTGATAACGATGTGCATGTGCGTAACGCTGAGCGCCTCGGTCACCCTTGTCTTCCTCTTCATGCCCAAGCTGTACATCATCGTCCTAAGGCCGGAACGAAACAACCGAGCGCTTTTCACTACGAGCAAGTCTATTAGGTGCCACATCGGTGCTCGAGTCGCCGCGGCCATCGCTGAGCCCCCGCCCAAGCGCACCGTTTATCGAATCGCTGAGTCCGAGGAGACTGAGTCATCGTCTAGTAAGTACCGAGCTTAGCGCCCTACCAATCCTCGATGCTCTTGGGACCGAACGTTGCTCACTCCGCTCGTGTTTCTCCATCATTCCGCCACAGTGGAGCCTTTCAAAATTCTCTTTCTTTACTGACATCGGTGTCTTAACCCCCATCATCCTCCATCGCCCTCCATCACCCTCCATCCCCCCCCCCCCCCCCAACACACACACGTACACACACACGTACACACACACACACACACACGTACACACACACACACACATTATCGTTGTCAGCGATAAAGTTCTAATTAAAATTCCCCCATCCCCCCCCCCCCCCCCCCCCCACACCCACCAGTCACCCCCTCCCCTTCCAATAACATCCACCCTTACACGATATCCTCTACGCTGCAATACTCTCGCCTGCAATAATACGTATGACTTTCGGTCGTTTCTGCTCGTATTTCACTGGACGTGCGCTGAAAATCGTCCTTAGTCTTTAATTTGACGTTTTCAATTTGTTGACAATAGAATAAAAATAATAGAGCGCTGAGAGGAAATATTCGTCGGCTGACGTTGTAAAGAACGAAACGGTCGAACGAATAATCTCTCTTTCTACCTCTCTTTTTTTTTCTTTTTTTTTTTTTTTTTTGCCTCATATCGGAACTACAGTCTCTAAGTTTAGTAAAAAACTAAAAAGTTTATTATTTTCAAGAGACTTTTTAAAGATCTTGGATTATTGTATAAAAAAAAAAAAAAAAAAAAAAAAAAGGAGAGAGAGAGAGAGAGAGAGAGAGAGAAAGAAACCAATGAATGTTCAACATTAGGGTGAATGCGAATAAATGGACAAAATTCAAATAATAGTCAATTGATCTAGCAGGTAATTTTTTTTAAATATTCGTTAAAAGCGGCTGCCTCGACGCACGAGGAGTTTCGATCGTTGGCAGGACCGATCGGTAGGTAATTATTGAAAATGAAACGTTCGTAGGGACTTAATCAACGCGAATTCTCTCGTCTGGCGAAGGCAATTAAACGCTGCGCAGGCAGCCTTGACGGATCTGTTGCTGAAATTAATCGTACCCATGTGTAGCTTGCAGAGGTAGTATAAAGCGACGGACATTGTCCATCCAGACTGACAAGGAGCTGCTGATGTCGCTGTGCGAGTCATTGGTCCTTGTTAGAGCGTCGGCGAGGTCGTCGCCAGCGGGGGCCGAAGAACAGCGGATTTGGGAATGCGCCGACTACGAGGAGACTGACACGCGGGACTGCCTGCTCGGGAGATCCTCCTCCTCGGCAAAGACTCCAAAAGTCGAGCGACACTGGGCCGAGCTGGACGTCAAGAGACTCGTCGACGACTCGCGCAGGTTACTCCCTTCGGACTCTCTCTCTCTCTCTCTCTCTCTCTCTCTCTTTCAATCTTTTGTCCGCGTAGGTAGTTCTCGGGTTAAATTTCTTCGAGCCATCTTTGGACTTTCGTAGCAAAGATTATTTTGTGAATGCAGTGTCAAAGGCGAATGTGCTTGATTTTTTTGTTGCATGAAGCAGAGGTACATAAGGAGCTGCCTTATCAATGTCCTTCTTTCGAGTTTTAAGCTTTCGGCTGAATGCACTAGCCGCGATTTGATTTTCTATGATTTTCTTTTATTATTTATTTATTTATTTTTTTTATTTTTTTTTAGCAATACAGAGCATTGCACCGAATATCATTTCGACATATGCATTTTTTAATTGTTGATTAACCAATGACAATTGTCGATTAATCCTGTTAACTTATAATATATAACTAAAAGAAATATAATAATAATAATAATAATAATAATAATAATAATAATAATAATAATAATAATAATGAAAAAGAATATCTAAGCATTTTCGTGATTAATGTGCTCAATTAAATCTTCATTTTATCATTTGTAAATTAACATAGAGAATCAAAAAATATTTTACATACATTAATTATCGAGAATTTATGAAATAAATGAATGACAGTGATATTGCGATTCATAATGTTACTCCTTTCAAAGAATCTAAACCTTCAAAATCATTATTTTCCAACAGTTTGTTTACGTTTATCAGGAATGATTTTCAATGCGAGTACAGCCTGTCACTTTTACATTAATTAAAAGTTGCTCCTTCTTGTAATGAGGCTCATATTACGATATGCATTAACCGCACTAATGATTTGTTCATGGATTACGTAAATAATTTTGTTTAGCCTTTTATTTAATGATTAATTATGATTAATATAACGATACGAAATGTAAATATAAATGTGAATGTGAAGTGACCGAGTAAGCTATCAATTTGACTTTATTTCTTAAAATATTTATCGATGATAATTCAAATGTTACGATTATACAATCATTAATAAGAGGATCTTTATTAATATAATATTGGAAGTATATATTTGTTGTTCGTGTTTGAGTAAGTGATTTTGATAATAGTTACGTTAATTTGTAACTGTGTCGTGTTTACATAAGTGAACAATGCTACAGTCAATGCTAGTCCTCGCTTGTCTCTCTTCATTACCTTGTAACTAATGCAAACAGTTTATAAAAAGTGAACAAACGTATTATATTTCAAGTTATAATTGAATTTTCTTATCGAATAAACATAATAATATTCATTTTAATTTCATATATTACGGATAATCAAATTATGTTTATGGATTGTTGTCTGCGTGCTCGTTTCCATGGATGCTCGTACTATTCATAATATTATCCGAAATATCGAATAATTTCCTAGAAAACAAATTTTATTTACTATTGATCATATAAGTAAAGTTTCAAATTTGGTAGTTCAATATTGTGCTAATACATTGAATTTAATTATTTTATAATTCTATTGTCATGCTTCTGTATATTCAATTATTCTTCATTATTAATAATTTCTAACTCAAGTCAAAATAGTCCATTGTAATACCACTCAATCATATTACCAATATTTAATATTTGATAAATATTAGTTTGTAATATTGACTCTATTATTTTATATCTTTATTTCTTATTTATTTACAAAATTGTATTACATTAATTGATATTCCAATGGCTATGTATGCGAATTCTCTATCAACATTATCAGTATTACATTCCTCATACTGAATTTTAATTATTAAAATGCGTCACTATAATCAATTGAATTGTTTTTTTCAATAATGCATTAAATTTCAACCGAATGCCCGCTTGTATTTAATAATTAAAAACATTTAATTTTTAACAATAAGTCATTTTCATAAATAGAGAATTAATTTCCTAATTAATTAAGAAATGTCTTGCTTAACATAGGCCGCCGTCGCATTTTAATTAAACATTTAATAACAAATGTCATAGATTGATAAAATTTCTAATCATTAAAAAACAACAACACAGCTGCGATTTATCCAACGGACACGCGCGCGCGCGCACACGCACAGAGGAGACAGACACATTCGTACGATTTTTTGTTGTCATAATGAGAAAAAACGGCATTTCAAAGGGCTATTCGCGTGCTCGAAAAACTTCAATTAATGGAAATGTAACGAGAATAGTCATATTATCACCCAGTGCACCGCGTCTTCTTCAACGCGCATTCTCATAAAGTCTGGACAGTTAGAATTATGAAGCATCATCGACATTTTAGGTCGGCGACAACATACTCCAGCGTACAATCCAACTGCAATGGGGAATTAAGGGTATCGGTACCCGGGAGAACTTCCACGCTCGAGAAGACGAACGGATTCTGGACGGCGAATAACGTCGACGGTACGAAGTCGACGGAGACTCTCGACGGAGATGAGGAGACCCTGCGCCTCGTCGACCTGAGGCCGCGTATTCGCGAGGAGAGCGAGCTGCAGTCCAACGACTCCGGCGATCCGGTGATTAATATCACCATCACCCTCGGCTCCGAAGCAGCGTACGCGGACATTGGCTCTAGCGCCCTCTAACGCATCAATGGCTATACATCCGGGCCATTGATCGGGATGATCCTGTGGAAGTGGCGATGAACCTGTTGATACTTCGTAATTACACGAGTCGTGCGAGGCTGTGGCGACAATCTTCTCTACTTGATTCGCATGAGATTGGCTTTGAGACCGAATGGTTCTCAACTGTTCGCATTATCGTTTGGATAATTCGCAAAGAGAAAGGATATTCAGTTGTCTTCGATGATCTGTCGGGCAGTATTGGAAATACTGTTGATCAATAGTATTATTAATATTATAGCGGTAAACGTAATGATAAATCTTGTAGACGTATATGACATCTGCTGATGGATATGTGAAAATTGTTAAAATCTATTTTATCGGCCATGTAGCAATTCGTCGATTACAAAACTTGTTCATTCGTAATTATAAAGCATTTATCGAGTCGTTATTTTTTTTAGTCTTTAATATATTCTTACTCGAAATTCATTAACAACTGATTAATAGTTGTATTTAATGAATAATTAACTTTGCTCAACCTAGGCTAAATATTACTTTGCATGACTAATGTAACGATCTGTTTTTAAATAGATATGTAGGAAATTATTACCGTAATTTTAATGAAATATAACGATTTCAAGTTTGCATAGTTATATAGTTGACATTTAATACAAATTCAACTATATATAAATACAGATTTATCAGGTTACTCCATTTTTTTTTTGCATTTCAGTAAAATTCTAAAATTTCCAAAATTTAACTTCATCAATAATATAAATAATATAATTATTTTCGTTTTTTTAAAGACACCAATGAAATCATATTACAGAAATGTTAACATTTGTTAAGTATTCACAATTAGATGTGTAGTTATATTGTATAAACATTGCGGAAAAAGTAAAGTGACGTAATATTTATTAAAATAGATCTGTTAAAACTTTTTAATTTTCTTAACAATTTTTGTTTCTACTTATCAGGATAAAATTGCTTCTACATTATCAAAATTTTTGAATATTTAAAAAGTTTTAACTATATTATTAATAACAACATTTTAAATATATTTTTACAGCACTGGTCATCCCTAAACTTCTTCAATGTTTACAAAACAATTGCAATTATTTAAAATGCATAAACACTAAAACAAATATTTTTATTATTATTATTATTATTATTATTTTTTTTTTTTTTTTTTTTTTTTTTTTTTTTTTTTTTTTTTTTTTTTTTTTTGCGTTGAGAACCATATTTTCATATTGATTTATAGATAATAAAATCATCCATTGTTTTTCATCAGATGAAATATTTTCAAGAAATATTATGTATTTATTAGAGTAAATTTGACATTAAAATTTACGATATAATTCTTACATTAATCCCTTTATTTTATATTGATATAAGGAATTATTAAATTATATAGACATTCTTACATCTATCGAGCGAATATTTCTACTTACTTCATTTATATTTCCAAATAGTTATAAGAAAAACGGTTGACTGTATATATTTTGAATTATTATCGTAAATCACTGACACAAGTATCGATAAGGCTAAGAGTTGAAAAAAATTGGAATCTTTTACGTTAAAAACGTAAATAATTCTGTTTCGTAGATTCCATTGAGAACAATCAAAATGAATATGTGATTATTTCTAAACAATCGTCTGCGCCAAGGGCAAATTGAATTTATACGTTATATTAGTAATGTGTTCGAGTAAAGTGAATTTGTATTATTGTGAATGCTGTTGTGTAATTATAAGAGGATTATGCTGCTCTGCTTAAGTTAATTTAATCAACAAAGTTATTTTAAATTTAAGGCAAAATAAATAGACATATAATCAAGAATCATAATTATATTTATCACGTCAAATTTGCTTTGTTTTTAATGGCATATTCTAATCGAGGTATCGTGCATATATTTTATCTTTGTAACTTATAAAATATCATATACTCAGAATAGTATCAGAATAATAAACAAAACAAAAACAAAAAAAATGGCTAAAGTAATTTTGATAAAAGAATTAATTTATCAGATAACGAAGTCGTAAAATTAAGATGTATTTTGTTTATATAAAATTTATTCCTCATTCGTTCTAGTTTCTTCGACATTACAATCGATGATTCATTTTCAAAGGAACGTAATTTACATTTTTTATTCTTTTAATTATTCATATCAATCTGTATATAGATGATAATAATAATATATTTTAAAAAGTTATTTATAAAAAATACTTTAAAGTGAAATATAAAATCATTAGCCAACAATATAATAAATTCAATAATGATTTATTAACCTTAACAGCAATGAACTCTTTGATTGAATTTAAATTTAATAAAATCATTACCTGCTTTACCTAACAAAGGAATAAACAAATGGTCCAATCAATAAGGAAATATAATTTAATTATTGCAAAAAGTACATATATATATATATATATATATATATATATGACAATGTAAATTAAATTTTTTTATAATTTAAGGCTAAGGGAATCAAAGATAATTGCTATTACATAACTTATACTTGTTTGTAAAATACTCGTCATACGTTTTTTCTTGAAATTAGAATTTAAAAAGGTAGAGTTTATTATGAAATGTGTTTTTACATATTGAATAAATGTTTAAATCAATAAACATTATTCCAATAAACCATTATATGAATAATTATCCCTTAGATTGCCGATAAACCTTAATATATTAATATATAAACATTTTTTTATTTTTTTTTATTAAATTTATTGAATGTATTAATTCGATTTAATCTTAAATCATTAATATTTGATCTTTATTTCCAAAATTAAATATAAAATCTATATAGTTTAATAACGTGAACAAATTTTTATAGTACAAATATCTCTGACTTTTAACGATTAATTTAACATTAATTACTTTCACATGTCTTGTGCATCTATTAAAAAAAAAAAAAAAAAAAAAAAAAAAAAAAAAAAAAAAAAAAAAAAACATAAGTAGAGTATAATATTAATTATTTTGTGTCAAATTAAATTTTGTTAATTATTAAAATATAAATAATGCTTTAATCAATACTAATAATTATACAATTATGTTGCAATTTAAATTCTATTCTATTGGTATTTATGATGTAAATAATTCTTTTATTAATATACAATTTTGATTTTGTAATTATAAATTAATTTATAGAATATACATTTTTTATTAGTGAATTAAGTATTTATTTAAATAATGACTATGAAATACTTTTGGTAGTTATAAGTAATATTATTCTTTTTATATCGAGAGATATTAAACAATTATGAATGCATTTTTATAGAAATATTTATTGTTAATTTAAGAAAATTACAAAAATCAGTTGTTGATTTCTGTTATTTTTTACTAGTTTTCTTAACACACTGAACACTACATTATATATTTAAAGAATTTCATAGATGTCTTTTAATAACGAATTTTTTTGTGTATTTCGATATTTACAAATAAAATAAATAGTAATATTAACTAAATATAAGTTTCAATAGCATAACTTTTTATAATAATAAATAATAATGATTTAAATCAATAATACTTACAAAATATATTTGCAAATATTGATGTGGTAATGTTTATCACTTAAGTTTCATTACCGTTCCCTAAGTAATTATTATTCATTTTTAACTGTCACATTGTGTAAAATAATATCAATAATTATTATTTATTATCTATTATTAATTATAATTAGTATAGTTTAGATTAATTCGTTTCTTTGATTTTCGAAATTCATTTGCTATTGGAATTGTATAAAATAATACAATATTTGTTCCAATTATTATTGAATTTTAAGAAAACTCTCCTATTAAATTTCATATTTGAAATAATATTTCTAAATATTTTCTTATTTATTTGAATATCCTTTACAATAAATATTCTTTATAATCATTCAATGACAATTTTGTAACAATTTTGTTTTTTTTTTTGTTTTTACCAAGTAATTCAGCCTATATACATATTTATTTACATATTTTTGATCTTTTTACTTTGTATGTTATCTAAATAGAAAATAAGTATTATCTGAAAGCTGATTTTTATGATATTTCATTACAATTATAGATATTTTAAATTTGACACTTGATTTATTTCTCATAAAAATTGTTTATATTAATATTTAATTCCCTTTTACATCTAATAAATATTTGTATAGTATTTTCAACAAATTTCAAAAACATATTTTGCGTCATCGCTCAATTGTATTTAATTTTATACCTGTATTATTTAAATTAGTTGTTATTAATAAAGATCATAATTTAAAATATGTATATCGTAGGAAATTATGTAGATAAAAAAATACGTTTAAGTGAACAGAAAAAAATTGTATAATGTATTTGATGTAGATAACGAAAACTTAACACAGTACATTATGTATATGATTTTTTGTCACGATAAAGAAAAGTTTATACGAATGGAAGGCTTTTTTGGTAAAGTCTTTACATACAAATTGTCCAATATAATTGTATTTTATGTTTTCTATTCCATTTGATCATTAACTCTTATGTAGTTTTGCTATTGTTAATATGACGTTGTTTTATATTTATAAGTGAAATAAAATTTGTTTATGAATCTTCAGATTTTGTATACTTTAATTAATTATTATACAATGATCTTGTATATAACGGCAATTTTTTTTTGCCATGAATATTGATAAATACACAAAGATGATTTTATATCAAATCGAGTTGGAATGTTCTTACGATAAATGCAAATATTCAATAAAGCACAGTATTTGAAATAGAACATTAGATATAAATTTATAATTTAATATTAATATTTATTTTCATCAATTAAATTTTCTTAATGAATTCCACGATTAATATTCTTAACTACCTATTTTTCACTAAATTATTTACAAAAATTGTATTATAAACTATTAACATATTCGTTATAATTGTATAACTAATAAAATTATATTATTTTTCTAAAATAAATATGACCTAATCTATATTATGTATATGTTTGTATAATTAATTAAGAACATTAATGTTATTAAATACTGCACACGCTGTGCCGAAATATGGAAACAAGCATTTTGATTTAATTTTCTATTTCTTCTTTTGAAAGATTAATAAAATTTAATTTCCATTTTTTATATAATCTAAATTCATTTCTTAATAGCAAATTGAAAATCCCGTAAAATAGTCGTGTTTTTTTTTTTTATTTAAAAGAAAACTATGAAATATTGCTGTATTAAAATAAAATAAAATTTATATATAAATAAGAGAAACTGCAAACTTCAGTATTTAAAAAAAATATTGATATTTTCAAATTAATAATTTCAAATAATAAAGTGAAAGATTTGTAGAGTATTATTATTATTAATAAGAATAATAATACTTATTTAATTCATTAATAACTCAATTTGCAAATATATAAATCAGCTGTTATTAAGATTTGTATTTCTAGCTATTTCTTTAATTGTTTCATAATTTATCATATCCTTATGTTTACCAAGCACTTCTATAAGTTCCACGTTATTATATAATTCTTTATACATGGAAGCAATCAAGTTGGTTATAAGTTTCTTCATTGTGTATATTTTAGAAATGGAACGATTGATTTTCACTTTGAATCTGAAATTATGTTAAAATATTATTATCGACAAAACAGAAAGATGAAATATTTTAAATCGACTCACTGCACGTAATCTGGATTTAATTCTTTAAGTCGTTGATTCCTTATGGTTTCTCTTTCTTTTAAAAAATCCTGATAATCGTAAATGGCATTACAGGATTCTAATTTTAAATGATGTTGCTTCTTCATTAGCTTTTTCCTTTTCTCGTGTTTGGATATTAATTTATCATTTAAAATGAATAATTTTTGTAAACATACTTTAACTTTTCTGTAAAGATATATTTCATTGATTAATCGAAAATAACGGACCATTCAATTATTTTAATGCATCTAAATATATATCGGCTCACTCTTGAATTTCTTTTGATCCTTCATTTTGAAAAATTATATCCTGTATACCTCTACTTTGATTGCACAATATTAAAGCCTTCCTATTTATCAAATAATTACTAATATTTTTATTTAACTTATCATAAGACTTGTGCAACTTTTCCGATGAATTTGATGAAAGTTCTTAAAATTAAATGAAAAATATATGAATTATCATGATAATTTTATAGTAATACATTTGTTTTATTCTTACTGCAATCAATTATTGCTTTTGCAGTTAAACATCTAGCATTTATCGCTATTAATGATTCCCTTATATCCATTATTTTTTGTTCAATTGGTTTATAATCATCTTTTGTTTTTGCTCCAATTGGAAATTGCAATATAGTATCTTCCAAAGAGTCAATTGCTTTATCCAGTTTCTCAAATGCCATTTCAATAGGCTTTTCTATTAAAAATAAACTATTGTAAACTAGAAATATAATTTAATATTGTATTTTTATCACTTTTAAAAAATTATAACCTAATTAATTAAAACTTCGTATATTCATATATTTTAAGAGTGTAATTAAAATTAAACTTATAATTGACTTTATCGATTCGCTATCAAGTAATTTATTCGTAAAATTTTTGTTCTTCACCCTATTGTGCACATGAATTATTTTAAGAATTGATCAATTTTTTCATAACACTAGTCTATGTGAATACCGAAAGTCGTTAAAACCGAATTGAATTTCACTATGAAAACATAGATTAAGTGTATTATACTTAGGAATTTTACATCTCTTCGCTGTTTTATCGATCGACATTTGAATATTATAAAACTTAGTACTAGGAAATAATATCCGACAGAGGGCCGGAAATAATATAATTTTATCATGATGTTAGGTTATGTTCATCGTCATCAATCTCATTGCCACATTGAACTTTTTCATTTGTCCGAATTCAAATTCCGACGGAATGTCTTTCCAATAACTGACATTTTCATTTATAGGATAATTTTATCATTAATATTTTCATATCTATGTGTGAGAATTGAATTGTAAAAAGATAAAAAGCGTCAAATTGGAATCAAGAAGCGCGTCAGTAACTGGTAAATCGAAAAAAGGCGACGGTATTTGTGAAGTATGTGGTAGGTTATGAGCAATTTGTGTTGAATTGGTTGATGTACAGTGGATTTGTTTGCACGATGGAAATTGTTGAACATTCTGTTGCTTTGCGATTGAAATTTCGTCTTAGGAGACATTACAAGATGGAACGGAATTTGACAATCGTTGTAATTACGAGGATCTCTTCCTTGTAATTTTGGTCTATTGTCAAGTTATTGAAAGATGGGATCAAGGCCCAATTCACTCGTTATTCATTTTTTTATATTTAATAAATGTTTATGGTAATATTTTTCTTCTGCGAGTGCCGAGTAATAGTAGAATTTGAGGGAAATTTAGTATTTTTATGTAATAAAAATTTTAATTTGATTGGAAATGTTCAAACATTTGTTATTAATGAATGATTATTTTATTCGATGCTTTTTTCTTCATTTTTTTTCATTTTGATCGATAATCATATTGTAAATCGTACTATAAAAATAATAAAGTTCTTAGTATTATATTACTTTGTATTATATTATTAATTTTTATTTTTATTTTTCACTAATGAATGTCGTACAATTATGAGTTCATTTTGTACTTGAATTTTTTACTATATCATAAGTTTAATATCGTAGTTTACATTTTATAAAAACTAATTAGACTTTTTGTTAAAAAATTTTAGAATTCTTTTCTTATTTGTAATTTTATTCAATAAAATATTGATCAACGGTGATTGTCTGTTATATTATTCTTAGCAAAACTAGTCCATCAATTTTTACATTCTTTCAACCATATATTTTACATTTAATTTTTATATTTAGAGTCTCGGCAAAAGTACTACCTAATGCTACACTTATATTTATTATCGAAATGGTGAAGCTCGTATTTAAAGAAAAATTTCTGCAGTCAAATTTGTATTTACATAAAGATCTTTATTGTAATAATATACTTTAACGATAATGATTATTTAGAAGATTTAAAAAGAATACGAATTTAAAACGTTACTAATATTTGTTTAAAATTACGCGCGCGCGCGCAAACACACACAAACGCATTATAATAAAGTTTCTATAAAATATTTGTTGACAAGTAGAATTTCAAAATTAATTAATATAAGAAGCGTAAATTGCTAAACGTACCTTTATATGTAAAAACAAAAATTATAAAGGAATTTACTATCAACAAAGACTTGAAATTTCATAAATGTATAATGCAATTTTATGTAATGTTTATCGTAATAAAATTAACTCGTGAAAAAAAAAAACAATAATTTTTTATATAATATGGATGAGTAAAGTTATCGAACAATCTATGTCAAATGTTAAGAAAGAAAAATAAAATAAAATGATTTTGATTAAAATTAGAATTAAAAACTATTTATTGCATAGATGATAAAATAATGGAGTAATTAAATTTACACACAAGTTTATGCGTAATTTATGTAGCCTGTATTTTGAATATTAATTTACGTTTATAAATGTTTTTATATATGTGCTAAAGTAATTGCAATGGTACCGATAATTATTTCATTATAAAATATTATTGATTATTTTATTTACCTAACAGTCAATAATGCAATGAACAAGCGATACGGTAATCTTTAATATTTCAAAGAATTGTATAAAGTAGTACTAATTTCAACTAAACATAGCGCCCCGATATATAATTTAAATTTACAAATAAATAGTTATGCTTTATTATGTAACAATTTAAACGCTATGACTTTTTATACAACTTGCAATTACTTCGAAATCGCCTGTCAACTAGGAACTTTTGTTTTTAACGAGCATTTCAATATAATATTTTTCATCTATTATTCATTTTGATTTATTTAAAAAGGAGCTTATTCATTTTCATTTATTCATTAAGTTTTTGTTGTTTTTAAAATTATTTATAAAGAATTTACGTTACGTATGTGTAAATTGAAAGAGACAGGACTATTAGACACACGTTGTCCCGTCCATGCAATATACGTTGCTATTTTCATTCTTCCCTTATCTAATCGCCTCAGTAGTTTCATTTTTTTCGCATTTAACTTTCATCATCAAACCCGACCTTGAATGTTTTCACATGAGTATTTTAAGAAAGCATCAGTGAAATGTTACGTAGACAATGAGCTTAATGCTACAATTTCAATATAATTTCTTTCGAAAATTCGGGATTTTATGGATTATCTTCATATTATTTTTCTAATACGACAAGATAATATTACAATTAATTTTAATTAGACCAATAATTATCATAAATATCAAATAAGCTACAGTTATAAAATTAAATTATTCAATAAAATTCAATTATAAGTCACAAAAATCATATCTTATTACAATTTAATGTTGTCTTTTTGAAAAAATTTGATATTAAAAAAGTATTATATTAAATTTTTTATAAAATTTATGTGGAAATTATTTTTTACTTTCATGTATATGAAAAGACTTAATCGATTTCGTAAAAATGAATTTTTATGTTGATATGTATAATTATTATTGCAAATTATAAATGTTCTTATACTAATATTAGAAATCAATGTGCACGTGAATCTGAAATACAGTCATAACGAATGAAATAATCAGGCAAAATTCTATAATATCAGCAGCAGCAGCAGCAGCAGCAGCAGCAGCAGCAACATCAGTATCCTTTGTAATAATAATTTATTATTATTATCAATTGTTGAATAAATTGAAGCCCGTATAAGAAACAACTATGATAAGAATTTTATTATAAGAATTAGTTTGCCATTATGATATTATAAATGCTTAAAGAAATTTTAATTGCAATTATGTTATTCAATAATTTAATGATATATCGTTGAAATTATTGATAAATTTGGCTTTGTGTGTTGCATGCCGATATTAAGTATTGCATATTATATTTACAAAAAGGCTATAATATATACCTGTCATAATGAAGCGTGAAAAAGAAACTTTATTTTTCGATTAAATATTAACAATGTAAAAGATTTCGTATGGATTATTTCAGATAATTTAAAAAAATTACAGCTTATAAGCCGTGACATTTATTAAAAGTGAGACGAAAAAGAATTGATAATATCTTGGTTTGGATGGTGTTTGGATAAATTTAGTACTTAGTTCTAAAAGAATATTCCATTTCATTATTATAAATGTAGCTGTTTTTTTTTAGCTGTTATTTATAATTATATCTCAGTATATTAATATTAATAAAGCGAGACAGGATTTTATCATCTAAAAGAAAACTGTTAAACAAAATTGAATAAAAAGCCACTTGAAGAGAGCAGCAATTAAATATTTCATACGTGCATTTAAATTTTCCAATAATAATTTTAGCAACTTCAGGCAAATTAATAATTAGTCAATACATCATCGCATCCTAGTTTACGTGCTAGCCGCGCGCGCGCGCGCTCGTGTGTGCAACACGAGGTACTTATTCTTTGGTGTTACAGTTAATTGTGTTCGTTGATATCTGGTGGCGTGCACTTGTATAACACTTGTGTTTAAACGAAATAAAGAATGCATTATTGTATATTTCATTGATCATAAAGAAATGCTGTTTATTTGACAGTCGCTCGACCGTAACATTATCTGGAACTATAAATATCAAAAAAAAAATTTTATTATTTACTTTTATATCATTGCTTTTTATTATTCCTCTTACATAGGACATTTTATACGAAAGTTATATAATTTTTTGCAATCAACTTGCTCATTCTTTTTTATCACCATATTGTGCAAATTATTTAATTCGAGAATCTCATCTAACATGAAACACCTTCAACATTACTTTCTATTACAAACATGATGATTTTTTATATTATTGTTTTTATATCAACGCCTTAGTAATTCATAGATATATTGTTTTTTATGCTTGTATCATCCAATGTGTTGAAATTTAAAGTCTTTACTCCCTTAATTTCACTCCCTCGTTTTGGTAATTCTATATTTTAACAGATCGTTAATTTTCTTAATTATTTCATCGTAAAATTTTCGTAATTTTGATTAAAAAATTTGTTTAGCACGTCGATATGTGTTGTCGTTGTAACGAATCAATCATCTAGTAGAAATGGATCAATTTTTGTTACAATATTTATTTAATACTCGGCTTGTCTTATATTAATAGTTTAAAGATATTTCTAAGTTTGTTTACGATAAATTTCCGTGCATTATGCGATAGAATATTAATTTAGTTAATTTATTGTTAATTCATTGACGTCGTCCGCTCGCTTGTTATGTATCATCATGAGAATACAAGATGTATAATTTTGAGGAATGCAGCTATTATGCAATTTTTCTGAATAGATCTAAGATGTGAGCTGTTGATATGAGTTTCTTGGATTTTTAAAATGTAGGTGACACCAGTGTGATTATTAAATTTATTTATTCTGCACTCGCGATCGAGGTATTATA